TGTAATCAGGAACCATGTTTCATACGTTCTATCTAATTTTCTGTTCCTAAGAGTATGAAAGAGCAATCTTACCAATCTGCTCACGTTCACATAAACCTTTTGAACCTTTCCTGAAGCATTAATGGAACAACGTAAACCTTTTGAAATGAATCCTCTACAAACGTTTTGAGCAAAACAATGAAGCTAAAGACACACCCCAGAAAAGGTATATTGTTCAATTAAAGAAGCAACAGCGACACTACCCTCTTCTCACTTTCTGTACATAACGAAACAGTAAGCTGCAAAAGGGTAGAGGTAGAGGATTGTTACTAAGCAAAACTGATATATTCCCAACAAGCAAGAAAATCAATGAAAATGCAAAGTCACCTGCTTCATCTCATCCTTTTTTTTTTTTTTTTGGTCAACTCCGCTCATCTTATCCTTAGGAAAAATGATCTTCTTGATATTACCATATTTTAAAACACCTGACAGACCTGTAAATAACAAAGATTGTGAATAAAAAACAATCTCATGAAACTATAATAGAAAGACAACACACATCGTATTCCGTTGACTGACTGAACAGTTCTTCCGAGGCGAAGATATCCAAAGGTGGAGACGGCGGCATTAGTGACTGGAGCAGCTGATGAAGACATTTTCGTAACGGAGTTTAAAGAATTAAACGATGGGAAAAAGTAGAGGAGAAACGTTTAGAGCAAGCGTTCCTGAAACTCAAATCAACAATCACAGAAGCTGAACAATAATTTAGTTACCTACCTGCAGATAGTCGCTATAGATCTCTGCTTTGGCCATAGTGTCCAACATGATGCAAATCCAGGTAACCTACAAAAAAATCAAAAAAAATGTTTACAAAAAAGCTCGGTGTGTATGACAGAAGAAACCAAACTTCGGAGGGAAGATAGTAACTTACACCACAAATAGGAATGGATGCAGGTCCGCGTACCGATACAAAAACTCTTATCCTACACTAACCACCAATAATAATAATCATTACAGAGAAAACATTAATAGATGCACATAGACATGTGTTAATGGAACATACAGAGTGTGCATCATATCGCAAAACTCAATGAGAGCTCGACCAATCATGAGAAATCCCCACGATGCTGTAACCATCACTCAGGTCAGGCATACTTTTTATTTGTAGTAGTATCAAATACATACATGATGAAAAGAATCTTCAAAGGCTAAAAAAAAACTTATTTAGTTGATATTACCTCCTCACATACAACAGCTATCTGCACAACCAAAAATAGATTAGATTTTTATACTCATTCAAAGTTCACCATTCTTGAAACATGGCATATATATATTACCTGAGCAAGAAGAGGCATGGTCCATGAGCCCTTCCCACTCTCCCTGTATAAACATCAATAACGGATTAAAACACACAAAACTTGAGCCAACGATTGAATACAAAAAGGACATGTACACAGAGGAAGACATACAAGCAGTATCCCTGAGAAACAGACCAATCACTTAAAAGCTTTGTGAAATGTTTCACTCCTGAGTGACTGCACTTATCCCCAATTCCTGCAGAGAAACGCAACCTTTCACTTAATTTTCCAGAGATTTAGGATCTCGAAACCCTAAAGATACTCTTAAAACTTTTACCATGAAAGGAACAGACGAAGCGATTGTAATGTAAGAGCAAATTAGGGCAACAATAATAATCGCTGCCTTAAGAACATTCATTCTCAAGGGTTTTTGGTGTGGGAGAAGAGGAGAGAAATCAAATAGATTCGTAATTCTCCGGTACCAGAACGATCTCCGCCGGTTTAGTCTCGTCGTCGCCTGGATCGTCGCAGAGAGCTTTTTTTTTGTTTGTATGAGATAAAAAAAAAAGAAGAGCTTTTGGTGGTGGTTTTTCTTTATCTTGGTGGTGAAGGAGTCGAAAAGATCGATTTTCTGTCTCAAGGATGGAGAGACATCGGTCGCGGAGGGAGAAGAGAAGAAAGAAAAAAAAATTAAAGTGAGACCCACAGTATGTCTATGTGGATAGATTGACGAATGGGCAAAAACTCCATCATTATATATATGATTTTACACTATAATAGTATTTGGTGTAGGAAATATAGTAGGGTTGGAGATTCACTAATTACAAGTTAGTCGCTGTTTTCAGATTCATTTGGAACGTTTTTGCAATTAGATAGATTGGTCGCAACACAGCAGCAATATTGCAACTATTTTACAACTATTAGTGTAATTGGAAAGTTGCAGTCGCAAAATAGAATAAAGTTTTATAAGAATCTGCCCCATGGGATCCAGACTGGTTCTACAAAGCACCAACTCTAACTCTTCACTTGTAATCTTTAAACTTTTTTCAGGTAGGTTATTTGGTGCATTTGACATTTTTCGAACCCAAAACATCACCCCTAATACGACTAAGTTTAACACATAATATTAAAAACCCTTAATAACCAACCTCTCTTCTCTTATTCGAACTCTTTCCTTGTTCCGAAGTAATCTCTAATATCCGCCATCGGGAGATTGATGAAAGGTCGTGGTGGGAGTCACGGTGGAAGTCTGGCTGTTGGCGTTACTCTGACTCTAACCCAAGCACTTTCAATTCGAGAGACTCAATCCCTACGCCCTCTCCCAGTACAGTATATGCACACATCCCTGTGGCCAATGCAGTATTCGGAGATTTGAAAGACCAGAACAAGTGGCTGTTTGGTTGTTTGTTTTTGTTCTCTAGCACTCTTTGTTGGTCCTTTTGGCTTATTCTACTTCATTAAGAAAATCAAAATATAATGTCCTTTTTTTTTGTTAGATGTCTTGCTTTACAAGTAAACTTTGTTTAAAACCTAGGTTCCAATATCTGCCTATTACCCAGATCACCTCTCTTTAACAGCTTGGATGTGTTTATTCGGAATGATACAATGTGCAGTGGTCACTTTCTTCCTTGAGAAGGACCCGAAAGCTTGGATTCAGGAAATAAATGTGGCCACATAGGATTGTTTTATGCCCTTACTGCGTAAAGACAGGTCTCGCAAACTTGGAGTATGAATTGAATAAAAACTATTGCCAACTCCACTCTATTTCCTACACCAATATGAACCCAAATTGAACAAAAACTATTGAACTCTTTTTCAAAACAAAAAAAAAAATCATTACAAATGAAAACAAATTGAGAGAACAAATATCTCTTGCACAACTACAACTAAAATACTATTATTTTTAGTTTTTATGATCAGAATCGTCTCTTTCTCCTAGTAGCTAGATGGGTGAAAGAAAATAGAGTTTTTAGGGTTTATTTACCTTTTTACAATGTGCAAACAAATTTTTACTGAAAATATGTTTTAAAATATTTTTTTAGAAAAAAATAATTATATAATTAGATAGTTCAAATGGGGTTAGCATTAATATTTATTATAAGTGGACAAGAATCCCTAAAATGATTCTAACAATAGGTGAGGATTTTTTTTTGTTCTTTTTGGAAGAAAATGCTATTAAATATTTATGCAATTTTAACTTGATCAAGTTGTTAGATATCATAATTAAAATATTTTTAAAAAACTTATTTATTTAAAAATATTTTATAAAATATCAACATTCTTTGGAGGGTGCAAGTTATTACCTTGTAATAAATAATACTAGATTTTGACCCGCCCTTAAAAGCGCGGAAATTTTTTATGACTAAAAATTTATATAATTGGGTTTTGTGTTAATTTGAAGAATGTTTTGGTATAAAATCAGTTCACCAAAATTTGTGGTGATGATTGTTTTTTATTAGTTTTTAGTTTCAGTTTTTATTTTTAGATTTTGGTTATTGGTTATTGGTTTTTAGTTTTTAGTTTTTAGTTTTTAAGTTTCTATTTTTGATTTTCAGCTTTTGGTTTGTGTTTTTAATTTTTAGATCCGTTGAGTTAGTTTGAACTCATATTATCAATAAACAAATCCTAACTAATCGAACATCTACTTTAAAACTGAAAAGATGACAAAAAAAATTGCAATAGTTTATTTTGTAAATAAATAAAAAACAAAAAAATATATAACTTGAGTTTTCATCTTTTGGTTTTGATTTTTGTTTTTAGATTTGGTTTTTGGTTTTGCTTTACATTTTTTTAAATCAGTAAATTATTTAAGAAAAATAAAACAATAAATTATTTAAAAATTACCATTGAAATTTATCAAAATAAAGTGATTGTTATTTAAAATAAAAAATACATTAACATGTTTTAAAGTACATGATTTAAATAAATGATTAATAATAAACAATTTTGTTTTGTTACAAATATTAAATATCTTTTGGGCCTAAAAATAATAATTGATTTTTTTATCTATTAAGATGAAAAGTTTATTCAATATTTTTTGGAGTGTTTCCTTAATAATAAGCCCAAAAACCAAACTATATAATTTGTTCTAAAAACAAAAGTAAGCCCAAAACTATATCCCATAAATAACCATCGGTTTAATTTAAGTAATGCGGTTCAATTAATTATATGGCTTGTGTTACATGCATATTTGTAACACTCTAGAAAGGGTCTAAATTTAAATGACAACTTGTATCAGTAGATAAAAAAAAATGACTCTAATTTAATAGAATAGATTATTGCATCAATGTCAAAGCTTTGATAACAAGTACAAATTAAAATCAAAGCACTTGAACTAGCAAGTAAGTAGGAGCTTACAAATAACATCGTGTCAAATACTACAACATAGTTTATATGAGAATCCTTGCTGCAATTTTATTAAAAAAGCGTTATAGATAGAGGACTTTAATGGTTAAACCAGACTCGACCAGCTTTTCAAAATCATCTGACTTTTGGGCTTTAGTGTCCTAAGCTGGAAAGGAAACTTCCACTTCAAGAATATGAAAAGTTGGCCACACAGGAAGCAAAACAGAACCCCCAGCCCAAGGAGTACTTGGACGGATGCTGATGTTGAGTAACTCTCGTCGCCAAGAAACATATGAACTCCATAAGAGCAAATGAGGGGAACTGAGATACAGAGATAGAAAAAAGTGTACTCCGTACCAAGTGGCAAGAGAACGAAATTCAAGAAAAGAGCCGACAAAAATGCAATCGAATTGAATCCCCAAAGTAATAAGATAGTTTGAAATGCTCTGGAGGAGAAAAATAACCTTGGTTCTTTTTCTTTTCTCCGCATCTTGGTGGCTGGAGTGCTGTGGAATAAGTAGCCGTGATGACAAGTATGGTTATGACCAAGAGCGCATTTCTGTTCCCATCTGATATGCCGCTCCTGTAACGTGTCATTGTGATGGAGAAGTATTCACAGAAGTTAACCGGTGATCTCAAAAATTCAGACGATGTCTTGACTTTAGATAGAGAAGCCTTGCTCTTCCCACCCGATCTTTTTATCAGTTTTTCAGTTCGTTTCTCCATGAAGCGACCGTTGGCTCGAAGGCTATCAAGGGGTGTGAAACCATCTTTGTTTTGGGCGTTCCGGTCGATACAGAGGCATTTCAACAACAGCTTCACTGCCTGTACAAAATTCCCACCAAATGGTTATGCACACTTCATATTATATATATATATATATCATTAAATTGATCGTACAGAGTGGGTTTAATGCTGTTACAAATAACATAAAATATATAGTACTCGAACGTTCATAGTACTCCTATCAACCTTTAATATCACACAAAAAAAAAAAAATATATATATATATATATATATATATATTTGGAAAACATGCCTCGTGTTTATTTTCATAGCATGCGACGTGCAACGCGGTGTTGCCATCACGGTTTTTTCTGTTTATGACGTCAGACTCGATAGAAGCAGCATCACTTTGGCGCATTCGTTGAATCCATCCAGTAAGCACTTTGAGCTCTTCATATCTGCCCTTCAACACTGCCGTATGTAGAGCCGTCTCGCCCACTGCGTTTACATCCAGGAGGCTCTTGGGAGATGCCATAAGAAACTCCGTGAGGAGATCGACGTCACCTTTCTCTACGACATGATGCAGTGGTGTCACACCTGTTTCGAGATGAACATATATGTACGATCCTTACAATTAAAACTTGCTATCGAAAGAAACGTAAATGTTGTAGAACTATTATTATAGATATATATATATATATATATACCTCCTCTGCCGCGAAGACGAACAAGATTCGGATCAAATTTTATTAGCTCTATCGCTATCTCGACTTGACAATTCTCCACTGCTAGATGCAAAGGACTAAACCCACGTGTATTTAGCTTAGTGGCAAATGATGGCGCCAACATCATCAATTCCACAGCCATATCTACCTTCCCATGAATCGACGCTTCGTGAAGTGGTGTATGGACATATGGTTCACTGACGCTTTGTAGGATAAACGGGTCCTTCTCAAGAATAGAATAGAGTGCCTCCACAGATTCAGCAACCCACAACAATTTTCTATCGGCCATATGTGTATACGATTTTAGAGAAACAAAATATTTGTTTTCTGGAATTTTAAATCCAAGTTCTCTGCTAGTTGTCGTAGTTATATAACATTTTCGTTTAACGTGCGTATGGGCAGGGGCGGATGTAGAACTCTATTTAGATGGGGTCACATGAACTTTTTTCATTATGTATAATTTTCTAGATTGAACTTTCCTTAAAAATTTTACATATTACTATAGGAAAACTAAAAAATAGACGGGGTCACGTGACACCGTACCGGTGGCTGTGCGTCCGCCCCTGCGTATGGGCACTCGCTATATATAGACTTCTCAACCATACGTTAATGAACAGATTAAATGTGAATATGTGATCCGACGATTTTTTTTTCCTTGCAAAAGTTGGTATTAACATATCATGATGACTGTCTCACCACGTAGATTGGCAGTATTACATAAATTTTACCTATATATTACGTGATGTTAAAAAACTTTATAACAAATAAAAAAATTTCACTAATATTTTCGTACTAATAAAAAAAATTATGAAGCTTGGCTAAAAACTACTTGATCATTTTGGGCCTTTTATCATTTTCTATTTGTAAGAATAGTTAATTATTTGCAAGAAATTAAATTTTGCAAGAAATTAAATGTGTATGTTGTGCTTGTAGCCATTTCCATACTATAGACTTCTCAACTTCTAATATTAATAAGAACAATACCTACTTTAGGTTCACCCGTAGATGGTTAAATTCATCCCATTTCAAATACCAATCAAAATGCCATGTATGATTAGCTAAAAATAGGAAAATATATTATAACTAAAAAAAACAAAATAAATGGAAAAAAACAGTACTAATAATGTTAATGTCATCAACAAAACTTTAAATCCTAAATCATAAATTCTAAACTTTAAACCATAAATCCTAAACATTTAATTTTAAATCATAAATCTAAACCTAAACCACAAATCCTAAATATTTAATTATAAATCATAAACCTTAAACTCAAAACTCTAAATATTAAACCTTAAATTCTAAATCTTAAACACAAAATCTTAAACTTTAAATCCTAAACACTAAACCCTATATCCTAAACTCTAAACCATAAACATGAGAGTGTAAACTCTAAACCCTAAATTCTAAACCTTAAACCCAAAAATCACGGGTTCACGAACCCAAAACTATAAACTTTAAACCCAAGTATTGTTCGATGGTAGAGATGGTTTAGATTGTTGGGTTCAAACTTTAGAATTTAGGGTTTAGAGTTTATGTTTTATGGTTTATAGCTTAGATTTTAGGGTTTAGGATATAAGATTTAGCGCTTAGGATTTATGATTTAGGATTTATGATTTAGGATTTATGATTTAGGATCTTGGGTTTATGGTTTATGATTTAGGGTTTAATGTTTAGAGTTTAGGGATTTATGATTTATATTTTAGAATTTATGATTTAAGATTTACTAGACCTTGACCCGTGCGACCGCACGGGTATTAATTTTACTTCTTTAATTTTTATATTAAATGATATTTTTGTAAAAATTAATTATATTACATTAAGTTTTATTTTTTTGTGTTAACAAATTATTGTATCAAAAATATTGGGTATCATACAAACAAATCTAACATGTAGACGATATATTGAAAATATTTTTCAGTTAAAGATACATCAAATCTTGAGAAGTAAGAGTTAATATGGTATACAAAAAAATGATAAATTAGTTATAATATTTCTATGAAAAAGCATGATTTTCAAATTATATAAAATTTTTAATATATAAAACATTTGGATTCAAATTTGTAAAATAAAAAATGAAGTATCAATTAAATGGTTACAAATTACTTATGGATTTAATTTTGACAGAAGAATACCGAAAAGTTTATTGTTTGATCCGCGCAAGTGTTTTTTTTTATATATTTTATAAGTGATAATATATATTTCTAAATTTACCCGTTTAAATAATAATACGACATTTTAAACGCACAATTTTTTAGTTTATATTGATTAATTTTATTTTATCTTATTAACTATCATTGTGTCATACTTATTTTAAAAATATGACCCGTATATCTGCACAAAGGTTTTTTTTTTTATGAATCAAAATTTTATGATAATGTATAACTAAATTGTTGTATCCACTATTTAAAATATATGGTGCTATATATTTCTACTTTTTAACTTTTATTATTCTGAATTTACCTTGAACTATTATTTATATAAAAATATACATAACATAATATATTTATATTAATCTATGTATTGTGTATTATATAAATGTTTCTTTTTGTGAATTTTATTTTAGTTATTACTTATAAATAATAAAAATATAATTATATATCTTTGAAAACAATATTTTTCATTAACTATTTAAAGATATGTAGATAATTAATATGAAAAAATCCTAAAAGGTAGGTTAATTAATATTGGAATTAATTATTATGTATATGGAATTAGTAAAACAATTTCTATATAATTTATTTATTTAATTACGAAAGATATATATGAAAATAATTATTTTCATCAATTATTGTTGCCATATTTTTTTTAGTTAAATTTTGATTTGGGAAATGCATTAATTATGGTGAAAAGACAAAGAATCCTATAAGATAGGGTAATTAATAACTTCAGTGGCATAACATTGTAAATAATTGGAAAAACTCAGGGGTATTTTATAAGTGTACTTCTATTTTAATAATATAGATAAGATAGGGTAATTAATAACTTCAGTGGCATAACATTGTAAATAATTGGAAAAACTCAGAGGTATTTTATAAGTGTACTTCTATTTTAATAATATAGATGGTTTAAAGTTTAGAATTTAAATTTTAGAGTTTTGCAGACAGCATTAACGCTGTCGATATTATTATTTTTGTAGCGACTTTTTTTACTCATTAGTTTTTATAAACTAATTTTAACCTAGTGTTTTAATTGGTTATTAAAGTTAGGTGAATTTAGCCATTCATCATAGAGGTGATAGTTACCATGTATCTTCTATTAATAATGACTTTGTCTCTTCCTTTACAGTCTTCCCATGCATTGAAAGATAAATAACCACTCTTTTCACTTTAGTTTTATAGGGATAGTTAGAGCTTTTGTTTCAGTCTAGACAAATCGTACAAATTGTATTCATTGTTGATGACTTTTTTCTTGAATCTACCATGCTTAAATGTTATGCATTGCTTACGTTAATGTAAAACTATGATAACAAAAATTAACAGGATCAAAGTTCAAAAAATATTATTTAACAGGATCCTTTAACCATTGGATTACGTTTGATTGAATTTAGACAAAATTAGAGCCTGATAAAAATCCATTCCCGAAATGGAATTTCAATCGAAGCGATGGCTGAAAAAATAAGTTTGAACAAAGCCAGATATGAACGTTCCACCGATCGAACATAAAAGGAGATGTGATCTTGAAAGTCTTTTCCTCTGTTAATCTCCGATGAAGATATCCAAGAAGATCCAGCTTAAACCTGCTCATTTGACTCATCTAAATTGAATTTATTCAACTTTAAAAGAACATGTCAATTTTGTTTAGTAAATGTGTCTAATACAAACTGCAAACTATCATTCGGTGCACTAACTCGGTTAGATACAGTTATATTCATTTTGAAGAACAAAGTTATCAAAACCTTTTTCTCTATTCAACCTTTTCTCTTTGCAGACAATTACATAGTTTGGATTTCTTTTAAGCAGTGTTTTGAAAGTTAGACCAAACGTCGACTCGGTATAGCTACTAATTTACTGGTTGGACCGGTTCAACCGGTCAAGCGGTTTCTATTTTAAAAAAGAATATATGTAGATATATATATATATATATATATATATATATAATTAAATATTTATATTATATAGACTTAAAATTATTCTACATGTAAGACAATATTTTCTTTTCTCTTTTATTAATTAGAAAAATAAATAATAAACATAAATCTAATTATATATACAATAACAAAGTAATACTATATCAAATTAAAATACAAACCCAAGAACTGATTGTTCAAATACCGTATTTATTTATTTTTACAATTAAAGTCTTAGATTTTAGAAATATGTAAGCCAAAATATATTTGTTTACGTTATTTCTTAAAAATAGAATCAAACATAAATAAATTAAATAGTAATAGTCAAATACTTGTTATGAAATATTAAATTTTATTGAAAACACATTAATTAAATTTTAATTTTTTAGAAACGGATTATAAAATTGACCCAGATTACTGGTTTATCGGTTTTATCGGTTTTTCTCAAATCCTGATTTTAAAACGAACCGGACTCATTCTTCAGTGAGTCATGGTCCAATCCGGTTGTACGATCCAGAAACTCATGGGCATTAGAAAAATATGTAATATGATTTGGTAATTACTAATTAGATCTTGGTAATTCTTGTTTTAATACTTTTTATGAACTATAGGGGAAAAGCGAAGATATCTACACTGGATCTCAAGATTTTTTCCTTTAATTTTTTTACTAGATTTTGACCCGTGCTTTTAAAGCGCGAGATTATTTTCTATAAAATATAAATATTTAATAAAAATTAAAAAAATTTAGACATTTCATGTATTTTAGTAACAAATACAGCATTTTATAGATGAGATCTAATTTGTTAAAAGATCATTTTCAGTTTTGTTATATGTAAAAGATTAACTTTTCTTTCCTATAAATTATGTGTATAAGTTAAAAAAAACGATGGTAAGAAATTAGTCGACTGGGCATATGAAGATTAATTTTCAAGACAAACTGAACTATATATAGTTATATTAGGTTCAATCCATATTACAATGTATGATCATAATTTTGAAAAAAATTACAATATTCTAGTTAATAAGTATTTTAAATTAAATATGTATTACGTTGACTTGTAAAATTATATATATATATATATATATATATAATAACATATGTTCATTTATTAATTATAAGTAAATTTAAATAGAATAATCTGTTCAGTTAATAGTTTAATTTTTATTTTAAATCACTTTTAAAAATATGTGATTAGTTTCATAAACCTACTTTGAAATATATT